TTGGTATACACCCTGTAGAAATGTTTAACATATTATCTTTCTTATTAGTTTTATTTTAAAGTCTTATAATTAATTATAAATCATATTTAAAGTAAGATATTTAAAATTGCAACAGTAAATTAAACGCTCTCTCTCTCTCTTTTCTCTCTATCTTTCTCTTGAACTCTTTCTATCTCTTTCTCTGAAAGCTGACGAAGTATTGTTTTAACGAGACTGAAAAAGCCTGAGGCAGTTACAAGTATTATTTCAACAGTTTCTACAATGAAGGAGGTTTTTATATATTTTTATATATATCGTGAAATACCGGTATCTGATTTTCATATCGCGATATATTATCGTGGTGGAGAATACCGCAATATACCGATATACCGGTAATATTGCACACCCCTACGATTTACTAGGGTAAAACTAGTTTGCGACGATTAATTTTCCCGATCAAGCCTTTTTAAACTGTTGTAAATAGACACAGAGACTTTAAGGACTGGTTCGCGGCGATAAATTTTTGCGATATATAACGAGGCTCTCTCGAACTTCGCGAAAATTTCTCGCACGCGAATAAAAGGTGGTTTACAGTATATAGTTTTACCCTGTCCGTCCGTCTGTCTTCTTTCTCTTTAAGTCCGTAAAATAACTTTAACCTTACCAATAACTTTTGAGTGGGGTGGGGCAATGACGTTCAAATTTCACAATGTAGGATGATTTTACCCTATCTTTGGACTTTCAGTAGGGCGTGACTTTCTCGGCGCTACGAAATGGCGAATACTGATAGATTCTCATTGGTTACGAAATTAATAACATCAGGAAATTAAAATTGTTGTTGATAACGATGAGACGACTTATGTCCCACCTCTGTGCCGGGAGAGAACTTTTAATTGGCTATTCACTACACCAGTTGACATTCGGCCGCATTTATATCATATGTATATTTCAACAGTGAAGGAAAGCTGTATAAATTTCAGAATCTAATTAGGCAACGTCGAGAATGCCACGCCTTACTGAAAGTCCAAACCTAAGCGTCTCTTGCGACAAGACATTTCCTCGTGTACCACCAAATTTGACCTCCTGGCCTTGACCTTGTAGTTTGACCCATTTATACAAAGAATATCCAAACTTAAGCCTTGGTCATAACTTTTGATTAGGTGGTACTCGAATTTTCATACTTCACATATTTATTCACTATGACAAGACATTTAATGACTATGAATATTTGTACCTTTTGACCTTGACCTTAGAGTTTGACCCACTTTTAAAATAACCTTTGAACAGTTAAAACCAGGGCTTTCATATTTCACATGTGTATTCCTTGTGACAAGACCAACAATTTTGATCTTGGAGTTTAACTTGCATTTTAGAATCGTCAACCCTTACCATAAGCTTCCATACGGGGGAATTATTGTTTCACAAATACATTTTTATAAGCTTGCCAGACACTTTAACATTTGGTAAACGAGGACTGAAGAACTATAATTATCAGACCTTAAATGCAGCCTCTATATCTGTTATGGACCTCGTCTATCATTACCTGTACATTTTTTCCCATCGTCAGGTTACGCGGAGAGCAGGTCCAACTGTCCCCCAGAGGCCGTTCAGACCGTCAGAAACTGTATCAGCTCATCCATTCCATCCTTCGCTCCCTCCAAAAAGTACAACCTGAAGAGGGAGATAGAGATCATGTGGGGAGCCTGTAGGTATGTATAGATGTATGTCAACAAAGTAGTCCCTGAAGGCCGAGATAGAGAAATTATATGAGGGGGGGGGGCTGTGTATAGATATATGTCAACAAAGTACACCCTGAAGACCGAGATAGAGATGGGGGGGGGGGGCTGTAGGTATGTATAGATGTATGTCAACAAAGTACACCCTGAAGGCGGAAATACAGATCGGGGGTGGGGGGAGCCTGTAGGTATGTATAGATATATGTCAACAAAGTAGTTCCTGAAGGCCGTGATAGAGATCGGGAGGGGGGGAGCCTGTAGGTATGTATAGATCTATGTCAAAGAAGTAGTCTCTGAAGGCGGAGATAGAGATCGGGGGCGGGTTGTAGGTATGTACACATGTATGTCAAAAAAGTAGTCCCTGAAGGCGGAGATAGAGATCGGGGTGGGCTGTAGGTATGTATAGATGTATGTCAAAAAAGTAGTCCCTGAAGGCGGAGATAGAGATGGGGGGGGGAGGGAGGGGAGCCTGTAGGTATGTATAGATGTATGTCAAAAAAGTAGTCCCTGAAGGCGGAAGTACAAGTACACCCTGAAGACCGAGATAGAGATCGCGGGGGGGGGGGGGGGGCTGTAGGGTTGTATAGTTGTATGTCAAAAAAGTAGTCCCTGAAGGCGAAGATAGCGAACGAGAGGGGGGGGTGTATGTATAGATGCCTCATTCGAACCCGCGACGTAAGCATCGAGTCCTTACTTCGCGACTCTAGAGCAGACGCTAGCTCTAACCACTGCGCCAAGCGGGCAACGAAAGTAAAAGAAGAGACTGAGAGTTTATGTTGTGTTAGGTAAGAATTTGGAGTACACAACATCCAGATTAAACAAGTTTGACTGTATATAAAAATCTTTATTATATTTATAAATTTAGGTACACTTAAAAAAGTTAACATATTTCTCGGAAATAGATCCAACATAAATTTGAAACACAGCTCGGAATGAAGGTCTCATGTTAACATATAGGCCCTCAGGTGATGCTCTACTGCTAAGTATTTGATACAGTTCAAATATATACGTACAGTGTGTATAACCTAATTTCGAATATTTCAATGCGCAAAAATATGAATTACATAAGTACCATTCTAATGAAGTTGCATGATTGTTTGTGACATAATGTTTTTGATTCCCAAATTGTAAATACTCAAAATTCAGGCGGAAATGAATGATTTTGTTGGCGTTATAATTGGATGTAATGAGCCACTCTGCGCTCAGTAGCAATGTTTATTCTGAATTTTATTGTATTAAAAAACCACATGAGGCATTGGTTTACACTTTGCTATGTAAACATATATATTAAGAATTGTTATTATTATTGAAGCTTATTTAACTATGCGTTAAATATAATCACGGTCTCCGTTTGTCCATTGTAAGGATCCTGTGCTTTTGTCAAACTCCGTACCATACATGCTATTCACTACATCACATTATTTTTACAGATCATCCAGCGTAGGTCTTCTAGTTTAGTACTGTATAACTGTAATTCTACCTGAATATTGTAGATCTTCCCGATCAAGGTCCGTTATTTTACGCTGCACTTTAAAATTGTAGATCTTCCAGTTTAGGACTGTGTAACTGTGATTTACCTCAACATTGTATACAGGTCTTCCAGTCTTGCCGAGGCCTCTAACTGTGTGAAGCGTGTGATGGATAAGTGTACCGGGATGACAGATGAAGAACAGAACCTGCAGAGGCTGTTCAGTCACAAGGACATAGAGTACACGTACAGATACTTCTGTGACAATTTCGATCGTAAGTACCGTTACGGCAGATACCCGCGCTTTTAAAAAAAAGAGGGGGGTGTTAACTGTATTGTGATAAAAAGGTTGGGGTCATCTGAAGGTCAAGAGAGACTTTGGTGAACATAAATGTATTGCCTGTCCTCATAATTCGATTATTGTGTGCCATGAAGAAAAACGTCATTTTTTAAATAATATAGATACTCCGCGAAATCTGTATAAGCAGATATTTCCTAAGAGCATTCCAGGTTGGATGAAAGAGATGATTCACATTTATTGAAATGGAAGATAAATCTGAAATATATAAAATAATCTTTGCAAAGTGATATTGATATTTTAGGGGGGATATATATTTATTTTAAGATATATTTTCTTGCTCTTATAGTTCTTATAGTTGCTCTGTGATAAAGGTAATCATCGTGGGGTTTTCCGTGGGTGCCGCCGATGAGTACAAAGCTGATCGACTATAAAAGATTTTCTTTAAGAAATAACTGTCCTGAAACCAGAACATTAGTTGACATTGTTTTTCTAATTGCTAGGACTAAAATGTACCTTATTAACCCATTTACGCAGGGACATAGACAGGATTCTTATGATGTAGACGCCTGACCGAGTAGGCAGGGGGTTGGGGCCGCCTCAAGGCCCCAATGTGTGGGGGCCAAAAGTGCATTGTGAATCTTCGACGATTTCGATGTCCATATTCGACCCTATCTCCTGATCGCTTTTTTTCTTAGACTTTATTAGTTTGTGAAGCAGCCACTTTCGAGGTCTTTTCTTTTTTTTTTTGTACGAAATGCAGAAAAACACTCAAAAATGAGAAAGGATCTGTCCAATATCGTGGTATGACGAGCCCATTAAAATGCAATCTTAGACTTTTGAAAAGACAAAATAAGTATGGTAAAAATAGTCTGTTAAAGTAGTTAGAATGTAATGCACTTAGAAAAGTCTCAGCAATATTCAATAGTTTACCAAATTCTGGGAAAACCTAATGATTTTAGAGGGGTGTATACATGTGTATTTCCGTATTTTTTCCTCAGGCTAAAACTGATTCTGTTACTTTTCATGTACGTTTTATTCTTATTCTAAATATTAATATTTCCAAGGAATTTTTTCATTTTTAGCTCACCTGAGCCGAAGGCTCAAGTGAGCTTTTCTGATCACATTTTGTCCGGCGTCCGTCTGTCCGTCTGTCCGTCTGTCTGTCTGTCCGTAAACTTTTCACATTTTCGACTTCTTCTCAAGAACTGCTGGGCCAATTTCAACCAAACTTGCCACAAAGCATCCTTGGGTAAAGGGGATTCAAGTTTGTTCAAATGAAGGGCCACGCCCTTTTCAAAGGGAGATAATTATGAATTAGAGAAAAATTAATGGCATTTTTAAAAAATCTTCTTCTCAAGAACCACTGGGCCAGGAAAGATGAAACTCATGTGGAATCATCCTCAGGTAGTGTAGATTCAAGTTTGTTCAAATCATGACCCCCGGGCCTAGGGTGGGGCCAAAATGGCCGACCCAAGTTTTACATAGGAATATATAGGAAAAATCTTTAAAAATCTTCTTCTCAAGAACCACTGGGCCAGGAAAGATGAAACTCATGTGGAATCATCCTCAGGTAGTGTAGATTCAAGTTTGTTCAAATCATGACCCCCGGGCCTAGGGTGGGGCCAAAATGGCCGACCCAAGTTTTACATAGGAATATATAGGAAAAATCTTTAAAAATCTTCTTCTCAAGAACCACTGGGCCAGGAAAGATGAAACTCATGTGGAATCATCCTCAGGTAGTATAGATTCAAGTTTGTTCAAATCATGACCCCCGGGCCTAGGGTGGGGCCAAAATGGCCGACCCAAGTTTTACATAGGAATATATAGGAAAAATCTTTAAAAATCTTCTTCTCAAGAACCACTGGGCCAGGAAAGATGAAACTCATGTGGAATCATCCTCAGGTAGTGTAGATTCAAGTTTGTTCAAATCATGACCCCCGGGCCTAGGGTGGGGCCAAAATGGCCGACCCAAGTTTTACATAGGAATATATAGGAAAAATCTTTAAAAATCTTCTTCTCAAGAACCACTGGGCCAGGAAAGATGAAACTCATGTGGAATCATCCTCAGGTAGTGTAGATTCAAGTTTGTTCAAATCATGACCCCCGGGCCTAGGGTGGGGCCAAAATGGCCGACCCAAGTTTTACATAGGAATATATAGGAAAAATCTTTAAAAATCTTCTTCTCAAGAACCACTGGGCCAGGAAAGATGAAACTCATGTGGAATCATCCTCAGGTAGTGTAGATTCAAGTTTGTTCAAATCATGACCCCCGGGCCTAGGGTGGGGCCAAAATGGCCGACCCAAGTTTTACATAGGAATATATAGGAAAAATCTTTAAAAATCTTCTTCTCAGGAACCACTGGGCCAGGAAAGATGAAACTCATGTGGAATCATCCTCAGATAGTGTAGATTCAAGTTTGTTCAAATCATAACCCCCGGGCCTAGGGTGGGGCCAAAATGGCCGACCCAAGTTTTACATAGGAATATATAGGAAAAATCTTTAAAAATCTTCTTCTCAAGAACCACTGGGCCAGGAAAGATGAAACTCATGTGGAATCATCCTCAGGTAGTGTAGATTCAAGTTTGTTCAAATCATGACCCCCGGGCCTAGGGTGGGGCCAAAATGGCCGACCCAAGTTTTACATAGGAATATATAGGAAAAATCTTTAAAAATCTTCTGCTCAGGAACCACTGGGCCAGGAAAGATGAAACTCATGTGGAATCATCCTCAGGTAGTGTAGATTCAAGTTTGTTCAAATCATGGCCCCTGGGGCTAGGGTGGGGCCAAAATAGCTGACCCAAGTTTTACATAGGGATTTATAGGAAAACCTTTTAAAATTATCTTTTCAAGTACTTCAAAGGTATGATTAGTGATATTAAATATGGAATCAGCTTCAGGTAGTGTAGATTCTAGTTTGTTCAAATCATGAACCCCTAGGGGGGTTAAAATTTAAGCCCCCCCTCCCCCCCCCCAATAAACTTTCAGTTCTGATCTGATATGTGCTTTTTCCTAGCCAATGTGCCCAAGTGAGCGCTGTGGCCCCTGGGCCTCTTGTTAGATTAATTTATTTTTTCAATTTGCAAAAATGGTGTGTATGCTTTAAGAGTACACAAGCATATATGTAAATTACGCCTGCCTCTTTTTTTCTTACAAAAATGATGTGGTTGCTGTGCGTACAAATGTACGCCTCAGCTAAGCGCCTAATATAAGTTCAAATTTTATTGTCAAATAGATTATATTTATTTGCTCTATAATTGATCATGAATTATTAATGTCCTATACTAATTCATACAGATCTTCTATTGTTTTTGTAGTGTATGAAAAACACATAGGATGTATTCAAGATCAGCACCAAGCTGCCACTAACTGCTCTCGGCCTCAGATGGAGAGCTTTCGAAGGAAAATAACGGCCAAATCTCCTATTGAGGTCATGATATTGTCTAGTTGTTCGTAAGTCCTTAGTTTTCATTTCATAAAAAATGTGCAATTCGCAGTGATTTAGCAATCCTGGGGAAGTATGTATGTATGCACTTCGCCCTTTGGGCTTGGTGAATATATTGTACTCTTCGGGTATTTTAATTTTGACTTTACATTTTTGGATCCCCGCCCTCAAAGTTTGTATTCTTTAACATGTTTAAGAAGTGTAACATTTGACCGTCCGTTAACTTTGATCTTTCAGCACCCACCAGATAATGACTGAGTGTTTGTTAGAACCAGTGAACCAGAATTGTGGAGACAGCGCCGCCATGTTCTTAGAACACATCACGTTAAACCAACGTCCACCCGTGTGTCATCCTCTGACGCCGAAATACAGCAGCCTTCAGAATGATCAACCTAACAGCGCCACCACATCCGCTGTGACGTCACGGACCATATTTGGCGCCGTTTTATTTATCTTTGTTTGGAATTTATTGCCCCTCTGACTTATCCCAAGATAATACAAATGCTTTTATTCTAACGATTTAAAAATCGTTAAAAACTTGTGTAAATTTCTTAAAATACAAATTACAGCCTTTATGTGCAACAACTTTGTAAGTCATGACGGTTAACACGTTCGGGACTATGAGAGGCTGTTCATAGGAATTATCCCATCACTGCCTGCTGTGATATAACTTTACTAGTGTTGAACCAAAACAACATTCAAGCCCCTCAGTAGCCGAAATCCAAATGGAACATTCCTTTGCCTCATTATACAGACACCAGCGCCGACAAAACAAAGCATGTGGCTGATTTTATAGCTCCACAAACCCTGTATAGCTTGTACATGAAATGTACAAAGCAGTCGTTATTTGCTGTGAATACTTAAAACATTACTTAATACATCAGTGTCATAAGCCACGGATTTTGGGTCCATTCTATTTCCAACAAACTGGGATGGACACAAAAACCATGGATTGCCAATATATTCTCAATATGCAACTTTTTCATGTATATGTATATAAACAACATTCATTATATTGTTAAATTTTCTGTTACAATATAACTTTACATATTTTGTTTTGCACGGAAATTTTGATTTTGTTTTTGATACAGAATGTATATTTATACGCAAGATGTGCCATATAATTGTCATAAACATAAAGTATGTGTTACAGACATTAGTAATAATTTAGAATGTAATTTAATGATTTTTTTATGTACCTTGGATGGGAATTTTTATCTTTGAAAAGTTACTTTTTCTAATTTAACTAAAATAATAAGGAATCGAAACAGCTTTTGATTCTTGGACAAAGGAGAACATTCTT